CTGGGAATCTGAAAGATAGTAAAACGTGGCCACATATGCCATGCCTTACATAACTCAGAGGACACGAGATAAACAGAAAACAAGGGAAATCGTGCAGCACCGGATATCTGCTATCAAGAAACTTAAGATCTAGCAGGGAAGATAATTGCTAAATTAGTCATCCTGATCTCTAGTCTTCCCCCAACAGACCATGTTAGTATAGAAAGGATCTTTCTGGAATCAGCAGTCTGCAAGGGACAGTGACTGTGGAAGTATCCAAGCTAATGAATGCCCCTACATTAGGAAAATTGGGAACTATTCATTCAGTGGTAGCAGAGGCATTCACTGGCTCTGAAACAAAAAGTAAATATAAGTTCAAACAGGATATCATTAGCTAATTATAGTTAAGTACAAAGGCAGAATATGGGGAAACAATTTTCAGGGCCTTCCCATCCAACATTTAACATATTCTTGAACATTTTCACAAAGTTCTTAAACCAAAAAGCTTGAATAGACACAGGTGAAAAAATTTATGTATATTCTTTTATAATTATTACATGTATGGGGGAAAACTATATCAAAGAACTGAAGTAGAAAATGCCCATTACAACTCACTAGTTTTACTTTGAAAATCTCCAGTTACAACTTTCAAGGCATTTTTTATGCCTAACATTTGGAAGGAATCTATAAATGTGGATAATGGATTGATAATCCTGTTTTTAATACAAAGTGTCAGACTTCTATCAAAGAATTTTACAATGATGCTATAACCAAGTATGGACAAATCTATAAAAGTATCTACAAATGTTTCTTTGATTGTTTTAATGCTACTTTTGTTAGAAAATTATCAGAAGGATATTATCTAGAATTGGGGACGTAGCTCAATAATGCAGTACTTCCTTGGCATGCACAAGGCACGGCAAAAAAAAAAAAAAAAAAAACCAGACCTGAAGACCAGTGGAACAGATTAGAAGATGCAGAAACAATCCAGACACACTCACTCACCTCATCTACGACAAAGGATCCCAATACCCTCACTAGAGTAAAGATAGCCTCTTTAATAAATGGTGCTGGAAAAATTGGGTTTCAACTTGCCAAAGATTAAAACTATACCTATCTCTCACCATGCACTAAGCTAAAATTGAAACGGATTAAAGATCTAAATATTAAAACAGAAACGCTGAACCGGCTGAAACAGAGGTTAGGAAGAACTCTTGAAGACATTGGTGTAGGAAAAGATTTTATGAACCAAAACTCAATTGCCTGTGAACTATCACAAACAATCAACAAGTGGGATCTCTTCTTATTAAAAAGCTTCTGCACAGCAAGAGAAACCACCA